AGGTGTCCAAATTCTAGAATCCGCCCTAGTGGGGTCTAAGACAATGTTATCAAGAATTGCAAGAAGGCTCAAAATATAGTCGAAGTCTGAATCCCTCAAATCCCTTCTTAGACCCAAGTTCCACCCAATCCCAGAAGTGGAAGAGGATGGGGTGGTGAAAGACGAGATCGGCTCATTTTTCAAATTTGAAAGAGCGTACAAAGACGGAAACTGATCCTTTAGAGGGCCGCTCCCCACCCAGGTTTGTTCCCAAAATTTTATGGAATTACTGGAATTCAATTCATACCTGATATTAGGAATGAAAAAAGGTAGCAGGTCATGAATGGCTTTCCAAGGAGAATTGCTTATCTGATATGGAATTACCGGAATTCAGTTTTTGATGCTTCCTTATTTGCATAAGTCTTTGTGCCATAATAATGGAGCAGATAATAGTGTGCCCTGGGTTTGAAGATCTGAAGAGAGTGGCACTTGGATTAGATTTTTGGTCTACTTTGGATATTGTTACTAATGATGTACAAGTGTTTGTCTTCTCATTTTTCTCTTGATATAGGTTTTTTATTGGTTGATTTAGTTGTTTCTCATATTTGTTGGTCAAACCTCTTTGTTGTTTCTAGTAATCCTTTTTTCTCTTTAAAAATCTTTAAATGAAGGTTCTCCTTATCTGTTTCAGTTAAGAATGTCCAACAATATCACGGTTATGCTTCAAATTTTATGATTGACAACAGATTGCTATTAAATTGAGCTTATTTTCTAGTTTCACTTTTCTGTCTACCAGGGAAGATTTCTGCTTGCTGCGGCTAGTGGTCGAGTTTTGGCCCGTTCATTTCATTCAGTTGTTCATGTTGGTTATGAGATGATTAAACAAGCACTTGGTACTGGAAGCATGCGGATTCCTGAGTCTGAGCCTGAGATGACATGGAAACGTGCAGAGTTCTCAGTGATGTTGGAGCAAGTGCAAGCTCATGTAGCACCAACTGATGTTGATCCAGGGGCAGGGCTTCAATGGCTACCAAAAATCCTTAGGAGCTCTCCAAAAGTAAAGCGTACTGGTGCTTTACTTGAAAGAGTGTTTATGCCTTGCACGATGTACTTCAGGTACACAAGGCACAAAGGTGGAACTGCAGATTTGAAGGTTCTGTACAGCTTTCTTTCATTTATCTTTTCAAGTTTTATTGGGACCTTTTTTTTTTCAAAAACTAGTGGTCATTATGTACCATATGCTATATATTACATTCATAATGCTCATATGATTCACCGACTTACTTTTCCTGCACTTGCACTTATCTACTGCAGATGAAACCATTAAAAGAGCTCACCTTCAATTCTCCTAATATAACAGCCACAATGACATCTCGTCAGTTTCAGGTTATGTTGGATGTACTGAGCAATCTTCTCTTTGCACGTCTTCCCAAGTGAGTATATGCTTTTATTTCCCATACCATTTTGCTTGTATGATTTGTAGTCTTTTTGACAAGATTTTTCTTAAAACTTAAAATTAATGAACAAAATAGTCCAAAATTCCAAATTGGAATATATAAATAGTCATTGTAATTGAAATTGGAAGCAAGGTTCAAAGTATTGAGACACCCGATATGCACAAACTTGCATATCTGGTGTTTCAAAGGTACACTTTTTTTTAGTTTTTATTTTCAAAATATTACAGGGGGTTGGGTCTTAGGCCTGGATACCCCCTGAAAGTGGGTTTAACCCAAAGTACCTGTTATTTAACATATCGGGGTGCTACCAGAATGATATGATACGCCCTGATATTTGTGATATTTTGAACCTTGATTGGAAGAGTTTATTTTATGACTAAAAGTTTGGTTAGAATTCTGGTTACAGCTATGTCTCCCCACTCTCACTTATTTCCTTTTCTAAATAACCTATCACCAATCTCTTTCTTGTATACTCTAAAACACATGAGCTTTGTGTTTTTTATCAGCAAAGTAACTTTATTTATTAAACAGAAGAGCTCTTTAGTGGATAGCAGCTGTATACTCTTCTCCATCCCTGTTCTATGTCATTAATCACCCAAATGCAATGTTTTAAAAGGCAGAGGCGTGACGCGAGGCATTCCACTACCTAGAGACGTGAGGCGTAGTTCAGAACGTAAGAGGCGTAAGCCTCCTTAAGAGGGGGGGGGGGAGAAGGAGGAATAAGGAGGAGGAAGAAGATGAAGGGGGGATCTTATTTTTTCTTTATTTTTAATAAAAATCTTTTATATTAAGAAGAATAAAGGTGCATAGCCTCGGAGCGGAGCAAGACCCCCCCAACACATACAAAAAAAAAGGGCTGCATTGAAAAGGCGGGTGGGGGCAGATCACTTTCTTTCCCCTTATCCTTTCTTCCCTTTCCTTTTCTTTTCTTTCCTTCTCTCTTTTTTTTCTTCTCTTTCTTTCTTTTTCTTTCCCTTCCCTTTCTTTTCTTTTCCTTTCCTTTCTTTTCTTTTTTTTTTTCTGTCTTTTTATATGAGGTGTGCATGAGGCATACGCCTCTAGCACGCCTCATGAAAAAAGTGTATGAGGCGTATGCCTCAGAGGTGTCAGCGCCTCTGACATACACCTCAGGGCATTTTGGGAGTGCTTCGCCTGGAGGCACGTTTCCAGGCGCACGCTTCCCACGCCTTTTAAAACACTGCCCAAATGGTCTTCCTTCACCCATCATGGCCCACCACCAGATATATTCTGGACAAGTGAGTTGGGGTGATTACATTGGAGCAAAGTTGGTCACTTCTGATGGGATTACAGCTTATGTATCCTCTAAGTTATTCTAGAGTGGAGGTAGGTAGCATATGTAGTGGTCTAGAATTGGGAGGTAAGATCCATGATGTTATTGTTGATATAGGTAGCTAGATGATTTGCATAAGGAACATCTTATTACAGTTCATTGAACATCTACAATTGGGGAGGCAATGAGCTAGCTGAGCTTTTATCCACAAGTGGAGAGGGGGATAGGAAGAAGTCAATTGTCTTGGATCTCAGAACTGCCTGAGTACAGTGTGTTTTGTCTATTTGATGCATGGAGAGCTGTCTTGGGTCAACCTGGTGAGCTTCCATTCATGTTTTTCATGTTTCTTAGTGTAGTGTGTTTGTTGCCTTTTTTTTTTGAAAGCTGAGATTTTATTAAGCAGACAAGAGGAGTACAGCAGGGGGGGAGGGGGGAGAAGTTCCACCCCAAACAAGATCCTAGTTGACAGCTTACAAAATTACTGCTAAATCAGCTGGGAATGAAGTTTTCATTCCAAACAATGCCCCCCCTACAGGGATTTAACAACATTAGACCCCGTAAAGGCATTGATGACTAGTGGCCAATTATCATCCTTTTAATTTTGCCACAATCCTCACAACTGGAACTGATGAGTCTTCAAAAGTCCTTTCATTTCTCTCCCTCCAAATGGACCAACACACTGCCAGAGAATTTTGCCTCATTTTCTAAGTGCAGGAGACATCCAAGATTCAACCAGAGAACAGATGTTTGCAGGCTCAGCCCACTGGAATCTGAACAGCTGCAGCATATATCTCCAAACGGTATGGGAGAAATTACACTGAGTTAACAGGTGTGAATATTCTCCTCCACTTTACATATGCAACAAGGGTTTATGGTCACCATACCTGTGGATGTTAAGACATCCACTGTTGGAATCTTTCTGCCCCCAAATCCAGCTCGAAGAGACTTCTTCACTTCTGTCATTGCTCATTGGACAAGCTTCCAAAGATTGAGCTCACTGAAAACTTGCCTGATAAATCAGCTGTTCACCAGGGCTGATCCTGCTCCAGAGGCTGAGGTTTTACTCTCTCTAAGATCTGCATCAGGTCAGCAAGAGACCCCAGCAGGGTTCAAAAAATCGTTGCGTATCGACCCGTATTGTCCAATATGTATCGTATCGGGTGCACCCTGATACGCCCCTACAGAGGGTGTATCAGGGTTTTCACTGGTTCAGGGGGTGGAGGAACCTTAAACCAGCCCCCTCTACCGGATTTGAAAAAAAAGTAAAAAAAAAAAAAACAGTACCGATACTGTTTTTCTTGGGCGTATCGGGCGTAACGATATGTAGAACCATGGGCCCCAGGTCCCAACCATTGACTGGCCTTCTCAGTCGCAAATTCATGCAAGTTTGTCTTGGGCAATGGCAAAAATACTTGGGTAAGCTTGACTTAGTGAGATATCTCCACACCATATGTCCTTCCAGAAGTAGATGTATTCTCAATTTCCAAGCTTAAAAGAGATGGATTTGAAGCAGTCCCTGTTCAGCATGATACCCTTCCAAAGACTTGGTGCTTTAAGAGTTAAGAGTCAGTTACCAGGTTTGTTTCCCAGACAGGGTCAGCTTTTCCCATGCTTACAGCTTATCATTCTCTTCCACAATTCATTTTTCTCTATACTGAACCACAATAGTCATTTTGACAGAAGGGCCTTATTCATTTGTTTTAGTGGCTGAATACCCACTTCACCTTGTTGCTTTTGTTTGCAAACTTCCAAGCAACTAGGTGAAGATTTTTCTCATTCTCCTTGCCATCCCAAAGGAAATCATATTTCAAAGCTTCCAGACTTCTAATGACCAAAGCAGGGGCTTTGAACAGAGACATGCAGTAGGTTGGGAGGTTTGACAAAGCAATTTGAATCAGATTGACGTGGACAGAAAAACAAATTACATGCAGCCCTTCAAGTGTACAGCAATAAGCACTAGAAATACCAAGCTGAAAACAACAAAACAAGTTGGATTTTTAGGGATTTTAGACTTGAACCTGAAGTAGAACACCTCCTGGAACAGTTCTGCTACAGTAGCAATGATATCAAGTTGGCCTCCTGCGTGGATACACAGTGATAGAGGGATTGGAAGGTGCCAAAATGGGTTGACTCCTCAGAACCCAAGCTCCCAATACTTGAAAATCCTAGATGAGGCTGAGCTACAGCTCAAACAAGAGAGAAAGAACCAAAAATACCTCTACAGAAACAACCCCCTTCTCTTTTGTAAGACTCAATGGCTTGCTGGTGAAGCCAATTAAAATATTTACAAATGAACCCCTAGAATGTTTCTCTCTAACAAAGAACTCCTTAAGAACAAAACCAACTTCAAACAAACCCCAAAAGATGTGCAACCAACTGCCCCTGACCAGAATCTGAACTAAAATGACAAAAATACCCCTGGACCCAAACTGTCAACAAAGCTACCCAAAAACAACAATTTGGGATCCTACTACAAAAACATGCAAAACAGAATACATTCACATTTTTTTGGCCTCATCACAGAGTGATCTTCCTGCCTTGGGAGGCTTAGACAGATATCATCCTTTCCATCCTGCCAGCTTTAACCTCACTCTTTCAATGCCTGGGTCCCTTATCTCCTTAGCCCTATATTTTTTGTGCCGCAAATACTTGGTTGGAAGAGCAATTCTTCAACCCAACACTGCGGCTAGTTCTTCAATATCCGGCACCTCCCCCCACTGAAATTAATTCACTTTCTGCAGATTTATTTTTAATCCCAAAGTAGCTTGAAAACAGATCAGTAGGAATCTCAAAATCCTCAAGTCTTGAGAAAACGAGAGAGTCGTCAATGAATTGAACTAGAGTGACCTGCCGGCTACCTGGGGCCACTTTAAAACCCTCCAGCAGGCTTCCTTCAGTTTGATTAATCTGCTGAGAACTTCACTAACTATGCTAAACAAGAAATTCTTGTTATTGATAAACAAGAATTTCTGAGAGCTTCACCAACATGCTTCCTTTTCAAGTAATGGAGTTCTTTTTGATCTTGTTATTGACAAGCATCAGTTGGCAAATCTATTTATGTTATGAAGTAATGCAGATGGTTTTCATCAATATTTGACTAAAACTCAAATGAAGGCAGCTAAGTGAAAGATGGAGAAAGTCACTCCAATGGATTAACTTGAAATTTGGATATGTTGAAGCTTAGGAATTATATAAGACACTCCAAATCTCAAGCTAATCAGACTATATGAAGGCTTCCATCAATGGTTAAAATAATTTAGTTGTTGATGTTAGGGTCTGTTTGGCTAGTCAAAGTGTTTCTTTTATTTCGTTTTTTTCTTTCTGTTATGTCTGTTATTGTACTCAGGGGCACAAGGGTCTTTTCCCTTGTTATTTCTGCTGCCCTATATATATTAAAATAAAGGCTGGCGCCGCCAGCACTGTTACATTGCAAAACCCTTCTCTTTTCTCTCTTCTCTTCTTCTCCTCTTCTCTTCTTTTCTCTTCCTCTTTTTTCTGGCCGGCCATACTGTCAAGAGAAGTTACTGTTGCTGGATTTTTAAGACTGTAGACAGTTGGTCATAGTCAAAGTTAAATGGTTGATTAATGGGCCTCACATCTAGGGTCACCCACATAAAGTGTTTGTGGTTCAAATTTTATGATAATCAGATTATTGGTTACTGGTTAATGAGTTACAGTAGTTCTTCCAGTAAGGGAAAATTGAGATCATAAAGTCTAATTTCTTTTGGTAGTGTACAACTACCAGAGGTGGCTTAGGTGGTTAATATTAATGATTTATGGGGTAGGAGACCGCAAAGGCTCCTAACACTATTCATGCTACTTTTGCATCTTATTGTTATTTGAACTGTTTCTGTTTTTAGCAATAAGGGAATTGAGTTTCTTCTGTTGTTCTCTTTAATTGACCACTATTGAGAACTGATTTGGTTTTTATCATTCTGTTTTCATTGTTTGCTGTAATAGATCTTCCACTATTATCTGTGTGCTAGTTTGCATTTTCTGGTTACATTATGAAGTGTCAATAATAAATAATAAATATGTTCTTTGTAATAGTGACAATTAATAGTACTTCTTGGTATTATACGATGCTGCTAAAGTTGATGGAAATTTGAAATTTTGAATGGACTGAAACCAGTGGGTGGCCATGTAAAATCATGAAATAACCATTTCTATCACCAGGCTCAACATATATGATCTCTTATTGTACATAAAAGATGGATTATGAGCTCACATTCACATTGCTTTTTTAATGTAATTTTTTTGTCAATTCATATTAGATGAAATATCAAAAGGCCTAGAACAGGAACAAAAGGTGCATTGGCTTGGAAATATTAGTCTTATTCTTTGAATTTGCAAATTGGGTGGTTCAGGCCTCGGAGAAGTAGTCTTTCATACCTTGCTGATGATGATGAAGATACTGAAGAAGAGGCAGATGAAGTAGTTCCTGATGGTGTTGAAGAGGTCGAACTTGCAAGAATAGTCCTTGAACAGACAGAACGAGAGCGGAAGTTGCTGCTCGATGACATTAGGAGGTTGTCTGCTTGTAGTGATAGTTCGGTGGAAGGATACTTGTATCCAGAAAAGGATGGCAATTTGTGGATGGTTACCTGTGGAAGATCTACACTTGTAAGATGTCAATTTTATGATACAGATATAAATGGAAGGGCCTGTGAATTGTAATGCTTCTGTTATTCTTATTGACTTTTGTTTCTCATCAATGCATTTGTGGTGATGGTGTATATGTTGTCATCTTTTCTTTATATCTTTCACGCACTGTAAGATAGCTATTAATATTAAATCTAGAAGTTGCAGAGAATGCCTACTTATGTTTTTTACGCTTATATCATTTGCATATCCTTATTACACATCCATCCAAATTGAATCTTGTAAAAGATGCTGTTGCATTGATTTTTAGTGTAACGAGCTTGTCATCTAATTTTGAGATCCTGGTTATTCTTAATAAATCATGTCTGAGGCATGTAGTTTCCTATTTATTGTAAAAATAGACCCTAGGAAAGGTCTGGAGTCCGAAGGACTGGGATATACTTGGATTCAGAAATGCCAGCATAAAATGGATAAGGTGTATCAGGACTGTTATACCTAGTCCTAGGCTTGTTTTATCTCATGTTAATTCACATTTGGACATACTTATGCCACATCAATAAAGTTTGAAGTTACCTTAAAAAGAAATAAAAACACTGTAATGACTCCCCCTTTTCTTTATAAATATAGCCAGAATAGGGGAAAGCCCTTTCATTTCTTCTTCTTTTCCTTGCAATTAATCTTCTATATGTTCTGTCATCATCAACATGATAAAAACCTCATCTTTTCACTTTTTTTCCCCTTCTTTGATTTAAAACACACACGATAAGGATACAGGATTACTAACTTGTACATATTGTTTAATGGATGTAGGAGCTGCCTAGGGGCATGTCTTTGGACTCTATACTTTGTAATTACAAAACGATATTAATAATGTAACTGTTATCAATAAAAAATTAATACACACACACATTCTCTTTTTACTTACATTTATTTGCATCATCTGAACAGGACTTCATCCCCTAATTTTTAATAAGATATGTAATATTGTTTTAGTTATATGTACAATGTTTGATTCTTTCACGTTAGATCATTTTAGTGTCTTCTAGTTGTTACACAAAGTCACCAACTAGGGAAGCAAGCTACTCTATACTACCATAAAATGTGGGAATGAGGTATTTGGCTTTTTGGGCTTTTCTTGATTAAAATACTCCTATTTTTTGAATTTGGTCCTTACTCTATTGTAAGGACAGAAAATGTAATTTGAACTGCTACTTTAAGTTCATTCCATTCCCTCTCATTCAGTTCTATATTTAAGGTATTAATTCCTATTTTCTCTCATTAAATCCTATATTTAAGGTGTTAACTCCCATTCTCTCTCATTAAATAATATATTCAAAGTATTTGTGTTTCTCAACAATAAATGTTACTAATTAAATCTTTACCCAATAATTCAAAAATTTAAAACCTATGTTTTTAAAATCGAACAAAAAACAACTGTTCTTCCATTTGGGTGGTGGGTTAGTTCAACCATCCAAGTCAAAGGGTTGATACATAATGCTATAATTACATAATAAAAATTAAAAAGTGGATAAAATATTAAAAATTACAATAAATATATATATATTTTTTAAAAAATTGGGCACACCTCTAATATTATATATTTGTCATATTAAATAAAAATATGCATGACATATAAGAAGTATTTTTATTAATGATGGAAATGAAATACAAATTTTAAAGTTGAGCCAAAGAGGAAACCGTTTTCCTGTTTGGGCAGTGAATCAATGGTTCAACCTTTTAGGTCAAATGGATCAACCCTTGATGTCAAATAATTAAATAATAAAAACCTAAATAATAGAGACACAATAAATATTAAAAAATACAGAAAATTGTGTAGAAAGCACTTGGCTACATCTCTAATAGTTTATATTCATCATATTAAACAAAAATAAGGTGATAAATAAGAATTCATTTTCTTAATGATGGAAATGTAATTTAAAAATAAAACTAACTTGAAAAACAAATTTGTGTTTCCATCTGGGTGCCTAGTCAATGGTCCAACCATTTAGGTAAAATGGGTCAACCAATGATGCCATAATTAAATAATGAATTTAAAATATATAGAAACAAAAAAATACAAGAAATACATAAAATTAAAGGAAAATATTTGAGACATTTCTAATGTTATACATTTATCCAAGGTTCAAAATTTCTATATGGTACGCCCCATATCAGGTGTCTTGTATTGTATCGGTAGCTCCCCGAAACCCCAAATAAGGGGTATTTCGGAATTTGGCCACTTTCAGGGGGTAGGCACCAACCCATGTTGATTACTTACTTTTATTTCATGGGTTCTGATAAGGACACTGAAATTATAATTATAATATTGTCTGAAATTGTTACATGTAATGCACATGCACATTTACTAGTTTATAAAAGGGGAGAACAAACTAAAACTGCCTAGATTTTTATAAAAAATATCTTTGCTTTAGTGATGCCTAATGTGAGACTTAATTCTATTCTTTTGTAACTTTCTGTTGTTACACATTACAACCTCACAATCTACACCTTTTCAGGTCCAATTATTGAAAAAGGAGCTTGGAAACACTCACAAATCTCGAAAAGCAGCATCTGCATCATTAAGAATGGCTCTACAAAAAGCTGCACAACTACGGTTGATGGAGAAGGAGAAGAACAAAGGCCCTTCCTACGCCATGCGTATTTCTTTGAGGATCAATAAGGTGGTCTGGAGCATGCTTGCAGATGGTAAATCTTTTGCTGAGGCTGAGATAAATAACATGGTGAGTGTATAGAGATACAAGATAAATAGCTTGTTATGTCTTCATAGCTAATTTCCATATAATTTTGTATGATCTCTTCTATACCCTTTCAAATGCCATGTACTGTTTCAAAAACTACAAACACCATGGAAGAGATTATAAGTAGGTCTGTTTAACTTTTCTTATGGTTGTAGGCTTGATCAGTTTAACTTCATATAAGAATATACAGGGGTTTGTCCCATTGTTTGCCCAGACAACCCGATACTTTATTTTCAGATAATAATATATACCAGTATGTTAAAGGTTTTCGTGGTTCTGTTATTTCCTTTCTTGGTGGCATTTGCAACTCATTCATGGAATTTGACTCTAATAAAAGTTTTAAATTTCTGAACAGATATATGATTTTGATCGTGATTACAAAGATGTTGGTATTGCTCAATTTACAACCAAGTCATTTGTTGTGAGAAATTGCCTGGCTAATGCCAAATCTGACATGCTACTATCTGCATGGAATCCTCCACCTGAATGGGGAAAGTATGTACCTCTTTCCTTTCTATCTGTTTCACCATGGTAACTACATTTTCGAACTACAAAGTTCTGATCTCCTTTTTTCCATTCCAGCCTTGTATTTACACTTGGTGTCCTTTCCAAAATGGTTGTCCTCTTGTATTACTTGATATTATTCTAGATACAGGATAGGACTAGATAATTTTAGAAGGATATCATTTTTGTTCCATAGAACTCTTAAAATATTGACTATTTTGATTGCAGAAATGTTATGCTTCGTGTCGATGCAAAGCAGGGAGCTCCAAAGGATGGAAACTCTCCCCTTGAACTCTTCCAGGTTATCAGTCTTCCTTTCTTCATTCAATCAGTATCTAGGCCTTTTTTTTTATGGATATGATTCTTATTTTAATTATTTGTCAAGTAACAAATAATGCAGTGTTATTTAGAAATTAAAGAGGCATTTTTTCTATGCTTTTATTAGACCTTTATACATAGGAAGATTGTTGAATCTGTTTGGAATTTAGATATAAAGGGAAAGTATCAAATAAATATATAAAATGAGATGTCTCTGATAAATGGTTTGTGAAAGAGCTGCTAGACCTTGCTTTTTTCAAAGAAACTTTGACTGTGATCAAGAATTCGTTAACTTTGTCTCTTGCATGTCTTCAACTTCGTGCTGCATAGAGTTGAATCTTTTTTTTTTCATTCTTTGTTTCTTGCTTTCCTTTTTTATTTTCTTGGCAATAATAAAGAGAACGAAAGCTTCTAAAAACTCCTTCCCATCCGCATTCTCAACTTCATTTATCAATAATAAAAAAAGTATATATCATCATTTTTCTTCTCTATGCAATTAATTAAAAGTTTTTGTTAATTATAAGTATGTACAGAAAGGTATACATAGCTACTGCTAAAGATCCCTTCCCAAAAACAATATTTAAATAGGAAATATCTCTTTTTGAATGAGTTGAATCCTGGGGAGGGAGGGAAGCAAGGAGAGAGAAAGTTGCACCCTGAACTCTGATGCCACTGCTTCTGAAGTTGCAACTTACCTGTTCCTTCCATTTGTTAGGTACTGTTTTTTCTACCTTATGGACTTTTGCATGCTATATGTGAAAACAGTTTTTGTCCAAGGTGGTCTTTGGCTCTGAATTTCTTGAAGAATGTATGGTGACTGGATAGTTGCTTACATAAACTGAGATCATGTGCTTTTCCATATTGTAGGTTGATATCTACCCACTGAAGATACATTTGACAGAAACAATGTACAGAATGATGTGGGAGTATTTTTTTCCTGAAGAAGAACAAGACTCACAACGGCGGCAGGCAAACCTCTAGCCTAACTTTTTCTGTGGCACCATGTACTAACCATACTTCCCTGTAACAGTATTAATTTGGTGAAACATGCAGGAAGTTTGGAAAGTTTCAACTACTGCTGGCTCAAAACGTGGAAAGAAAAGCATATCTATCCATGAAACAGCTGCATCAAACATTCATTCAACAAAAGAATCTGATGTTTCCTCCAAATTGGGTGCCTCTACAGCATCCTTGGTTACTTCTGGTGCTATCCAGACGTCATCTCACTCTGATTCCTCCCAAGTGAGTTTCCTGAAGTTTGCCAAGTTAAATATTTTCCTTTTAAGGTCAATTGATATATGCAAATTGAATCAATACTCAAGTTTGGGGGGAAATTAGTTTGTAGAGATCAAAATAGTATGGCTGGTGATCTTGAGGAGTCTTTTGTGAGGTGGTGCATATTTTGATTGAGTTTGAGTTTTTGTCTTTTATTTTTCCCCAGTAAATTCTTAGGTTTGGGATTCCTTGTGTGGTAGGATTTTGGGGATGTCGCTTTGTTTCACCTTCTTTGTCCTTCTCAACCTGCTTCCACTAGTTTTTAGCACCAGGAAAAAAATACTACTTTCTCTCATGTTCACTGCACTAAATATACAAACAAAGGACTGTCCAGAAAATTGACCAAAAATTTAAAGCAAAAAGGATCAAATATGCTGGAGTTATTACATTTTATGTCTTTGGAATGCCTCTATATACATGTTCCCAAAATGTTGGAACTTATCAAATTTTACCTCCAATGATTTGCTCCAGCTCCTAGACACTTTACGGGTTAACCATCCAGTCTGCCTAAAAGATTTTGGTGTGAACAGAAATGTAATTGAAACATGGCTAGAAAAATTCATAAACAGAAAGTGCTTATCTCCATCAAAGGGTCTGTTTCTTGTCTGGAAATCCAATGCAATACACTAAATGGTGGATTCTACAGTTCTGTATGGACATGAATAGTGTTGCTTTAACCTAAACTTGTCTTTGCAACCTATCCCCAAGTACTTTAATTAAATTAAACAATAAGAAGGGAAATGTAGATCTCTTGTTTTAATAGTTCCCTAAGATAGGTGAGCTATAGAAGAGGCAGTGGCGCACTCCAGAAGAAGGGAGAACATGAGCAAGAAGTTAGTGGTAAATGCATTGGGTATAGAAGAGGAATTGAGAAGGGAGGTCAGAAAATTCTATCATAAGTTTTATAAATAACGGAATACCAGACTGGGGTTGGATGGTCTGCTCTCAAGTAAAATCTCAAGAGCAGAAAGCTGAGTTCAAACTTCCTTTTCTAGAAGGGAAAGTGTGGGAGGTGTTTTCAGGCATGGAGAAAGGCTCCTGGCTGCAACAGGCTCACGATGTGCCTTCTATGAAAAATGCTGGCTACAACAGAATCACAATGCGGCTCTAATTGGTGTTTTTTTGATAATTAACAGAAACTTTCATTAAGAGATATTAAGAGAAAAAGATACAAGAGGAGGGAGGGGTAAAATCTCTTAACCCTCCCTAATGGTACATTTCAAGTAACAATATTGCCCAGAATAGATTGACTCTTCAAAAAAGTTTAGAGTCTTATCCCAATGAGCCACCCTAATAGAAATTAATTTGATGATGGCGTCCTTATTTCTTTCTTTCTCATGGAAGGTCCTTGGATTCCTTTCCTCCCAAACTGTCCAACAGATAGCTGCTCTTATGCATTTCCACAGGATTTTCCTCTCCTCTTTAACCCCCTAACTGAAGTAGAATGGAACAAACTTTGAACATTTGGAGGGGAGGTCCACCTGCAACCAAAAAGAGAGGAAAACCAACACCAGATCTCTGAAACAAAGGGGCATGATATCAATAAGTGATGACAGGTCTCACCATTGTCCTTACATAGGATGCACTAGTGCGGGGATAAACACCAATTAGGCCTTTTTCTTTGAAGAGCAGCTAATTTTGGGTGGGATTGGTCTACCCCAAACTTCCAAGACTGGGAATGGGTGTCCAAAGACAGGTGGGGAATGAGCCAAGTCTTTGAAAAAGGAAGAGAAAGAGAAAACACCCGAGGGGGAAGGGACCCAAATCCTACTATCCGTCATAGAGGGATCAATACCCACCTCGTCTAGGATTTTGAGCAAATCAGAAATAAGATTTAATTCAGAGTCTCTAAGAGCTCTTCTAAAACCCTAGTTCCAATTAACAGTAGAACTAGAAATGGTCAGAAAGATGGAAGCTAGCTCATTTTTAAACCTCGAAAGGGAATTCGAGGGGAACAACTCTTTCAAAGATGTGTTTCCCACCCAAACATGTTCCTGAAATTTCACAAGGTTACCATAGCAAAGGTCGTACCTGATTAAAGGAAGGAATGAAGGAAGAATGGCATGAATAGATTTCCAAGGAGAAGCTCTTCTAACCCTAGATGATACTCCCATGTCCCAGCCATCTGTCGCTTGCCCATGAACACTTAAAGTTACTCGAGCCCATTGCTTATCCCTCTCCAAAGTCAATCTTCAAAGCCATTTCCCCAGTAGAGCTTCATTCTTTTTCTGCAAATTACCCAATGCAAGCCCACCATCACTTTTGGTTTTGGTAACTATATCCCACCTGACTCTATGATCCCTTTTCTCCTCTCTTGGTTCCCATAAGAAATCTTTCATTAACTTTTCCAAAGTCCCACATACTCCCTCAGGAATTTTGAACACAAACAAAAAGTAAACAAGCAGATTAGCCAATGTTGACTTAATCAAAGTTATCCTGCCACCCAGAGAGAGGTAGTTTTTCTTCCAAGAGGCTAACCTCTTTATAAATCTGTCAATCACCTTAATTAGGGGAAATGATTAAGGGTAGCACCTCTCTAATTCTTCGAGATAACACCTTGGCAATGATTTTATAAAGACTTTTTACCAAACTGATGGGCCTGAACTCTTTGGAGTGACAAGCCCCTACCTTTTTTCGGGATCAAAGCAAGGAAGGTAGAATTCAGACCTGGATTAATCACCCCTTCTTTCAAAAAATTCAGAGAACACTCTTTAAATATCATCCTTAAGTATCTCCCAGCAGTCTTGATAAAAAGACATCGTAAAACCATTAGGGCCAGGTGCTTTAGATCTATCCATAGAGAAGATAGCAATTCTTATTCTTCCAACCACTCCCTCAATTCTCGAGGAGCCTAGGCCAACCCAAACCTTCAATCCCTAACCTTCTAATCAGAGGCCTTCTGAAGATAGATTTGAAGTGGTCCACAAAAGCCCCTTCACCCATTTGACATAGCACAAAAAGAATTTCTCAATTCCCCTTCACAATGAGCACCCATGGGTTATTGTTGACTGACCTGGGTCCAATGTAGGTATTTGCTGCCAAACTTTGCAGCTTGCCTCCACATAACTGTTGGCTGTGTACTGAAACACCAATTAGGATAAAATGGTTTGCCCATCCCTCTTCCCTTATATAGATATATATCACTCTCCTAGTCCTACTAGGAGCTGAATTCAAATCAAATTTGGATTAGGGTTTATCCTTATAGATAAACTCTTACCTTGTTAGAAGAATGGGTGCTCCATACCCATATCCATGACCCAAATTCACCCCAAGTCACATTGTCATGTGCCTACTTAACTAATCATATTAATATGTTTCAGCTAATCCGAACTATGTTTCAAGTGGCCCTCTTAGTTGGTTTGGATGGATTTCGAAAATGGGCTCTATTTAATTAAAATGTGGTTCCAGGTATCAACTAAACTAACTGGTTGAAATCTGGTCAAGACCACAGAATTATACCTTAATCCAGTCTGTTTAATCCTTTTTAATGAGCTTTACAGCAGGCCCAAAAATAATTGTTTTATAAGATACACGTAGATTTGTTTCTGATAAAAGAGCCTTTATGATCATTGAATCTAAATGATGAAAACCACTCAAATTTGTTTCTGATCTCAACAATAACAAAAAATGGGAAAAATAGCAGAAAAGTTTCTTTGATGGTAGTGAATTTAATGCTTTGATCATCAGTATACCTATTGAAGTTTATTAATCTTCTCTACGTATGATTGTTTGCTATGATTTTTTGAATCTTTAATGTGCAACTATACTTCTAACAATCCCTTAAGTTTCATTAATAAGTTCCATATTTTTAATAATCTATCCCTAACTTCTCTATTTTTCTTACATATCTTAGGAAAATTAGCAAATTATCTAAAAATGTTTCCCCATCTCTGCATGGTAAAATGCCTATCAGTATCATTATTGCAAACCATGGGTGTTCCTTATCAATGTATTGTTAACTGATGTAGGTATCAAAGTTGCAAAACTTAAAAGCAAATATTGTATGTGGCTCAACTTCAGAGCTCAGACGCACATCTTCATTTGACAGAACATGGGAAGAGAATGTGGCAGAATCTGTGGCTAATGAGCTTGTATTACATGTTCACTCTTCAAGCATTGCTTCCTCAAAAAGTGGACCACTCAATTCAACACCAGAGCATCACGAGGAGTCCTCTAGAAATAAATCGAAAGACCCAAAATTAATAAAATCTGGCCGTTCATCTCATGAAGAAAAGAAAGTTGTTAAGACTCATGATGAAAAAAGAGCTAGACCTCGCAAGATGATGGAATTTCACAATATCAAGATAAGTCAGGTTGGTTAAACTTAATTTGAAAGTATATTACAAATCTGAACATGACATCAATGAAGTTCAACTTTTCGTTTGTAATGATCTTGTAGGTTGAGCTTCTGGTTACATATGAAGGATCAAGATTTGCTGTGAGTGATCTAAGATTGCTTATGGACACATTCCACCGTGTTGAGTTCGTTGGCACATGGAGGAGACTCTTTTCACGAGTAAAGAAGCATATTATCTGGGGAGTCCTAAAATCTGTAACAGGAATGCAGGCAAGTAATCTGTGTGGATACTCATTTTGTTTAATGAAATCACTTTCCCTGCTACAACACTATCTAAGTTAATAATGTTTGGTGTAAGCTTCATTTGTTCACCAGTCTAATCCTTCGGGTCATTTTTATTTTTTATAGAAAAAATAGAAAATGCATTAAAAAAGAAAATGCTTATGCAACCCAAAAATAACAGAAGAAACCAAGTAGGGAATGTTTGCCGAGAATCCAACCCATCACCTCAACCTCTGAAAGCCTCTATACAAAAATAAAACTCCATAACCACCAATGGAATGGCCCGTATTTTTCTTTTTTCAAAAGAAATGTATTTTATTTAATTATAAACAAACCATTTACAAGATCCTGGGCAATAAGTCAATGTGCATGGACAATTCCATCTATATATTCTATTCATTATGGTTGGATACGAAAAGTGTCCTGCCCTCAAAAGTGACCTGTAAGGAATATTCTTGAAGCTATTGTTGTTTGCTACCCATGGGTATTTTTTCCCCCAATCCCCATAACAAATTTAATGACTGTATTCTCTGAGTTGCTTTAATTGTCTAAAAGTCTTGAGTTCCTTTCTGACTAGATGGTGCAAATCACAGCCAATGGCACAATTCCCCAAATAACCCTTCCTCAACTTCCAAGCAATGTTCAAAGTATCGAGACACTTGATATGTATGAACTTGTGTATTGGGTGTTTCGTAGGAACATTGAACATTCTTCTTTTTTTTTTAGATTTTTTTTTCAAAATTTTACAGGGGATCGGTCTTGGGCTTGGATCCCCCTGAAAGTGGTCAAAGGACGAAAAACCTGTTATTTAGTGTATTGGGGTGCTACCAGAGTAATATAATAAGCCTAATACGCCCCAATATGTTGCAATATTTTGAACCTTGCTGCTAACTGCATAAAAATGCTTCCAGATTGGTTGGAAGTGATGATCCACTAGTTCTGTTTCCTCTCCACACTTTTAGCATGTGCTGTTTTCCACCCCCATACCTCTTCTTAAACATTTTCTCAAAGTGACAGTCCATAGAAAGAAAGACACTTTTTGGGGAGCTGCAGTTTTCCATATTCTTTCGACAGGTGATCTTCCTGTCTCTCCTTTGGTTAGCTTTTTTATAAAAAAACTTAACAGAAAACTACCCAATCCTTTCCCAATGCCATATTCTTCTGTCCGTTACCTCCATAACAGGCCTGGTTGCATAAGTTCCATCCATGGCCTAACCTCTCAATTATTTATTCCCCTTCTGAAAGTGGGATTCCATTCACCTGAATCATCCTGATAGAAGAAGACATAAGATATGGGAAATCAGCAATCCATTATATTTAATGGAATACCCTACCTGATGGTCCTGATCATTATAGATTATAGTAAACTGACCTGGCAGTAAAATAAGAACAAGAAATCAGCAATCCATGGAGAAATGAAGCTCTGCCATAAACCCACCACAAATCATGCAAAACTAGAAGCCATTCAAATATTGCTGTGTTACCCTACATCCCCCTTCCCACAAAAAAGGAACCTCTTTTTTTTTATAATTTTTTCCTCCTATCTCTCCTTTTGCCCCTGGTGCTTTTCTCTAAAGTTTCCTTCATCTCCTACCGTTTTCTGCTCCCATTCCATTATATCCTATCCCAAGAGATTACATACTTCCCTTCACAGTTTCTCCTCCCTATCCTCTTATCATGACTCTAAATCCTTCAAAGTCTTTTTACCCTCCTCATGCAATCTTCAAGCTTCTCCACCTAAGGATTTTGTCAGTTGAATCTCACATTGTTCGCACCGGCTTTCCTTACTCCTCACCTTTTAGGTAAAAGTCCTGCATATTCTTTAGGGCTTGACTGTGGACAATATTACCACCACATCTGGCCTTACAAGTATGCTTAGGAGAGATGAGGAATTGGCCCCATCATTGTCCACCACTACAAGACTAAAACCAGACATGGGAGGTGTATGCCTGGAGGCATGTGCTCAGGTGAGATGTCCTCAAAACACTCTAAGGCATATTCTGGAGGTGTTGATGGCTCTGAGACGTACCAATGGAGCCATCTTAACATGCACTGTCTTAACTTGATCCTCTTCAATCATCTTATTTCTTCCCTAACTTATGTTCTGGATCCCTGAAATGAATGCTCCACTCATCCTAATATCAAAGCACCTTCACTCTGCCCTTCCTGAAACTGTACCCTGGCTGGAGTTAACCAACAAAGAAAACCTTTGTGGGAATTTACCCTAGGGAATATCTATAGCCAGTTTCATAGGAATTATTCTCCCTAGGAAATATCTATAGGCACTTCCCAAAGAGAGTTTTGTTTATGAGATCCATCTTGAAACCAAAACCTCCATTAACTTTTTGACCAACACATACATTACCATTTGTGATTTGACAAGGTGAAACCTTTTCTTTTTTCCCCTTCTGTTCCATAAGGCATCTTTTTGAATTTTCTCCTTTGATAGTGGAGCCAGCTTCTTAAGCAGAGAATAAGTGCTCATCGAGCCTGCAAGGGAAACTGCTTGATACATAAAGGAAACCCCTGGTAAGAGCAAGGGAAGGAAGCATATGAGAATCCTAATATATTGTCTCATAAATTCAGTGTCCTGGTTACAATTCTTGACTCTGAAAAGAGTACCTTTTGTGAGGCCTTTTTTGGTCAATGTACCTTTTGTGAGGGTTGAAGTGCAAATTGGAAACCATTTCAGAGTACCATAAGATTTCTCTCAAAGTATCATCTATGTATTGGAGATGAGTGATCATCAGGTTCATCTTTACCCTAATTCTTGAAATCAAACCAAGGTCTCTGGCCACAATCAACATCCTGTTCAAAGCTTCAACTGTGATGAATAGGAATGTAGAAATCTCCTCTCCAGATTTTCCTAATGAAATCATCTTGCGACCAATTAGGGATGAGAGAACAGAAAACCATGGAGATACTAATACCCAAAAAGAGTGATGCTTTCCACCCAAGAGGCTTTAGATCGATTAGTTTGGTCAATAGTTTGTACAAGGTAATTACAAAGGTTTTGTCTCTCCGGTTTAGGCAAGCCCTTCCCACCATCATTGCACCAAACCTAGGGGCATTCGTTAAGGGGAGACAGATAGCTGATCAAATATTAATTGCCAATGAAAGTGTGAAGTGCATGAAGAAGCTTGGAAAGAAAGGTGTGGTTTGCAAATTTGATCTTGAAAAAGCCTATGATTTGGTAGATAGATGTGATGATTAGCTATGGTTTTGGAGGGAGATGGTGCAATTGGGTGGTGGGTTGCCTTAGGAGTTACTATTACTCAATTATAGTGAATGGGACAGTGGTGGATTTCTTCCCTGCTTTGAGGGGTATCAGACATGGCGATCCCCTTTGTCCTTTCCTATTTACTTTAGTGGTGGATGTTCTTGGGAGATTGATTTCCAGAGCTGATTCCAGAAGTCTGATAAGGGGTGGAGAGTTGGAAGGGATGATGTGCCTATTACCCACTTACAATTCGCAGGTGATATGATGTTCTTTTGTGAAGGAGGTGATTTGGGGTGAATTAGGAATTTGCAACTTGTTGTACAACTCTTTGAGAAGATGTCAAACTTAATAGTTAATTTGATAAAAGTTGTATAGCTGGAGTAAATATGGATGAGGGAGAGGTTGTTGAGTGTGCAAATATCTTGGGTTGTGAGGTTTCCTAGTGTTGAAAGGTTTTAAAGAAGACTTGCTTCTTGGAAGAGAAACTACCTCTCTCTTGGTGGCAGAATCACTTTGATCAGGGCTACCCTAGCAAATTTGCCAATATATTACCTGTCAGTTTTTAAAATCCCAACAGGTCAGCAGGTGTAGCTAGGACATTGGAAAAAAATGATGAGGGACATTCTTTGGGAGACAGGGAGGAGAAAAAGGATCATAGGGTGAGAAAGGATTTGGTGACTACTGACTAGAAGTAAAAATTTTGGAGGGTTGGGTATTGGAAGCATCCAGAAAAGAAATGTGGCTCTTTCGGGAAAATGGCTGTGGAGGCTATACCTTTGGAGAAGGACAACCTATGGGCCAAGGTAGTTGTCAGCATTTATGGGCTTGCAACAAATGGCTGGGACGCTGGAATATTGCCTAGGGCTACAAGAGCCTCCCCTGGAAGGCAATTCAAGCTATCCTACATTTATTCTTGCCTTGGATCAGGTATGATTTGTATTCTGGTGATCGTATTAAATTCTGGGAACATCATTGGGTTGGGGACTCCCCTCTGAAAGATCAATTTCCTCCTTTGTTTTCCCTCTCTAACTACAAAAATGAACCTATTTCTTTTCTAGTTCCTTCCAATTCCAGATCTGGGTACGGGTGGGACTTGGGTCTTAGAAGAGCTGTTAGGGATGCCGAATTAAACAACTTATCAGTGTTGATTGATATTCTTGTTGGAACTTTCCTAGACCCAGATAACTCTGATAGCCGAATTTGGACCCTTTCGCCCTCTGGTATGCTCTCTTGTCCCTCTTTTTTCAGATCCTTAACTCACCCTACTGATAGCGGTGGACATTTTTTCCCTATGAATGAGGTTTGGAATAGATCTGTTCCTCCTAAGGTTGGGAGTCTATGTTGGGAAGTCTTCTTGGAAAGACTTGACTTGAAAGAAGAAGAAGAAGAACTGTTTACTGTATTACAGGTTTGAAGAGAAGAAAAGAGATAAAGAGAGAGAGAGAGAGAGAGAGAGAGAGAGAGAGAGAGAGAGAGAAGGGATTCAGTGGTGAATGATCTGCTGCCCCATACACTCCTTTATTTATAGCTTTTAGGATCCTTACAAGAATAGGAAATAAACAAAAAATAGAAACAATAAGGCCAGCCAACCCAACTTAACAGAAATTAGAAACTTCTAATAACAGAAATTAGAAACTACTAATAAAAGAAATTAGAAACAACTAGGTGTGGGTATGGAACCCCACACTCGTGGCTAACCAACTATTTCTTCACTCCCCCTTAAGTTGGGAGTAGATATTTGTCATGCCCAACTTGCGTAGATTTGTCT